TGTTATGGGAGAGACACCTCTGTAGATGTACAGCATGAAAAACAAGGTGATAGAAAAAGACGCAATTTATGTTACAAGCCAATGACCTGTGTCTGTTCAATACTGTTAAGGAAGTCGGAATAGGAGCGGCTGGAGCCTGGGGGGCTTGAGTTTGGAGGGAATGTGCCAACTCTGCTGGCAGCAACTAGGTTGCCAGCCAGCCTCCTCTCCTCCAAGAACTGGGGGAGGGCTGAGGAGAGGGAGATGGAGAGGAAGCCAGGCTACAGACCACCTGCTTTTCTCTCTCAGAGCGTGACGGTGCGCATATGGAAGAGCCTGCTTCCCATGTTGGCCGGGGTCTGTGAGAGCCCCCAATTATTTATTTATTATTTATTTTATTTCAGAGAGGGGAAAGGAGAGGGAGAGATAGAAACATCAATGAGGAGGGAAAGAATCATTGATCGGCTGCCTTCCGCACACCCCACACTGGGGATGGAGCCCACAACCTGGGCATCTGCCCTGACTGGGAATTGAACCGTGACCTCCTGGTTCAGGGGTGGGCAAACTTTTTGACTCGAGGGCCACAATGGGTTCTTAAACTGGACCGGAGGGCCTGAACAAAAGCATGGATGGAGTGTTTGTGTGAACTAATATAAATTCAAAGTAAACATCATTACATACAAGGGTACGGTCTTTTTTTTCAATAGTTTTATTCATTTCAAACAGGCCGGATCCGGCCCACAGGCCGTAGTTTGCCTACGGCTGTCCTGGTTCATAGGTCGACACTTAACCACTGAGCCACACCGGCTGGGCTGGCTCCCTCTTGTGGGACACTCTTCCAGGACACTTTACATTAATCCAGTGAAAAACTGTCAGAATGTCTCTTCTGAGGGATATCGTACTCAACTCTGCAGTCTCATATTCCATGTCCTACCCCTGGCCAAAACACTCCCACCCCCGTAGAGATGGTACCCCTGGAGTTCACATATATCACCCCTAGAGTATTTGTTTTGTTAATCCTCACCCAAGGATATTTTTCCATTGATTGTCAGAGAGAGTGGAAGAGAGAGGGAAAGACAGAGAAATATCGATGTGAGAGAAACACATCGATTGGTTGCCTCCTGCATGAGCCCGACTGGGGCCCGGGCCAGGGGGGAGCCTGCAACCAAGGTATGTGCCCTTGACCAGAATCGAACCCGGGACCCTTTGGTCTGCAGGTCAATGCTCTATCCACTGAGCCAAACCGGCTCGGGCTATCCCTAAAGGTTCTGATGCAGTAGATCTGGGGTGAGGACTTAGACTTTGCATTTCTAATAAGTTCCCAGATGCTAAAGCTACTGATCTGGGTTTACATTTTGCAAACCATTGCACTGAATGAACCAGATTGTTTTTTCCTGGTCAATTATCTAACTTTCTTGACAAAGAAAGAGCTTAGGTCAGTGATGGCAAACCTATGACACGCGAACTCATTTTTTTGGTTGATTTTTCTGTTAAATGGCATTTAAATATCTACACTAATAAAAGAGAAAAATGGTAATTGGCGTACGACGCTACCCTTTTCATTGGCTAATCAGGGATATGCAAATTAACTGCCAACTCAGATGGCAGTTAACTGCCACAAAGATGGCGGTTAATTTGCATATGTAGGCACAATTCAGGGAGGCAAAAGGGAAAGCAGGAAGAAGCCCCCTGCCACTGACAGTGATCAGAAACCCAGGGGGCAGCTAAGAGCTGGGGGGCAGGGCAAAGGCGGCCGGGCCTTATAACCAGTGTTTTGAACTCTGCATCTGGTAGATTGCTTGTCTCCATTTTTGTTTAGTTCCTTTTTCTGGCATTTTGTTCTTTCACTTGGGATGTTTCCTAGCCTCCTCATTTTAACTGCTTCCCTGTGTTTGTTCCTATGTGTTGGGCATTTTCCT